AACATGCCAGACACACAGACCACTTCATAGTCTCCATGCACCCAGCAGCAAGGGGCCAAGCACTGTGCCAGGCCAAGGAGAGGTGCTGAGAAGGAAAGAATGGTGGTGAGTGTTGGGTCTCACAGCTGGAGCAGCACCGTGACAGCCCCACCAGCCTGGGCTCTGGTGCACTGCCCACGACACCAGACATGCAACAGCTCAGACACACGAACCAAAGCTGGTGGTGTTCTGCATGCAGCCAAGAAAGCAGCACCTGAAGCACTCTGTCCCGCTCTGGGGTCCTCAGCACAGCAAGGACATGGACCTGCTGCAACAGGATCAGAGGGAAAAGGTCCAGGGAGACTTTAAAACACCTTCCAGTACCTAAAGGGGCTATAAGAAAGATGGAGGCAAATATTTTACCAGGGACTCTTGTGACAGGACAAGGGGTAATGGTTTTAACTAAAAGAATTGACTTTAACTAGATGCAAGGAGAGGTTTTTTTACAATGAGGGTGGAGAAACACTGGCACAGGTTGCCCAGGGAGGAGGTAAATGCCCCATCTCTGGAAACATGCAAGGTCAGGTTGGATGGGGCTGTGAACAGCCTGATGTTTGGCCTGAAATAGATGACCTTTAAAAGGTACCTTCCAACCTAAATAATTCTATGATTTTTGGGGCCCTCAGCCTCTCACAGAGCAGCAATAACACAGGGGGTCTTTTTCTTCAGCCTCTTTCAGGTCTCCTCAGTGCAAGCTGCTCTGAGTTCACAGCGAGAGCATTGGGCTGAGCTCTCCAGACTAATCACATTCCTCCCCACACGTCTTCCCCTCACCTGTAAAACAGCAGTAACAATATTTACACTTCTGCAGTTGGCTCAAGATGTGGAATGAAAATTTAATTATCATCAGTGCTATTCACCTGTGAGGAACAGCTCACAGCCTGACCACAGCAGGAATGAGTCGAGCCCAGAGTGGAGCTGCAGGAGACAGCACAAATCTCAACCCTGTGGTAAAAAGGTTTGAATGGGAGAGAAACAGCTTCCCCATCCCTTATGAACTTGTTTAGAGTGAATTATCACAGAATTTCCTAATGGGTTTCCAGTTTGCAGGTCAGGCAAACTCCTGCCATTCAGTGCTCACTGACTCTGCAGTGACACACATACTTGTGTTCTACAGGAAAACCATTTTTAAACAATAAATCCGCCTTTCCAAACCTCTCAACTCCCCCGGGTCCCTCTAACAACTTTTGTGGGTTTGTGCTACATTGTCTCACTCCTGAAGACCTTTTTTTCCCCAGTGTTGCGTGAAAGACCCAAGCACAGCAGGAGAAATTAATTAACAGAGCAGACAGCTATTCTGCCATCAAATGAACAAAATTAAATAGTACCAAAGACTTACACTTATAGTCACCCCTAAGTGTTTCGCATGACAACAGCAGGGGAAACACAGTCCAGACTGTTGTTTTAATGTTGATAATATTCCAAAATCCACAGCGCTTACCAATTTCTCAGTGGAAATAAAACCTTTGACAGCAGTGGGAATTCTGTCTGGGCATGAAAGCTGGTGGCTATATTATGATCCAGCAGTAAGAGTCTGTTTTGATTGTCAGATGTTTAGCACCATTCCCTTCTACGCCTGCCCAGAGCACCTGGACTGACAAGCTGAGGACAAAACTTGAATACATCTGTGCACTCATGTGCTTTCTGCCAAAGCTTGTGCTGGTGAGGACCTGACTGTGCTCTCCACTACAGGCAGGGTTTATTTATACTTTGCAATCACCTCCCAGCAGCTGGAGGGCTGCCTGATGTGTCAGCCTGTCTGCTGCAGAGCGTTGGCTTTTTGCATCTCAGCTGGTTTGTTACTGCTCAGATGCTGACCAGGAGTGGGCTGCTAATTTCTCCCACATCATGAAGATGTTAAGGAATATAGGGGAAGGGAAAGGGAGAAGGGAAGCATTATGATACAGCAACAGTAAGAGGGAAAAGAGTTAAAAAGAAGACAGGAACAAAATTCAAAGGCACATGAGTGTAAGACAGCATCACTTCAGGCATATGTCAAAATAGTGTCAGATTTTTCTCTGTTCATTAAGTCAACAGTTAAACACCCACCAGCTCTGCTTTTTACTAGCCCTGGAGTTCTGCTGCATCTGGAGAACCTCTCCATGACATCAGCAGTAGAAGCAACTGGGTTTGTCAGCAGATAACCTCATTCATGAGTAGGTTGTGTAACCCCTTCCACTGGTGTCACCATGAGGGCCACGAGCAGGGGTCAGGTCACAGACTCCATGTGGTGGAGACCAGCCCAAGCACAACAGAAGCTGTGGGAAAATGACATGAATTTTATCAATTTTTCCTAGTTTTATCTCACATGTAACAGCACTTAGTATTTGTCCCTAGAGTTTGATAAAAAGAAAATCATCCCCATAATACTAAATTAAAAGCATCAATTTTATATCTATCCAGCTAGTGTGGTAGAGATCACCAGCCTGTGGTGAGGAATGGTCCCAGCAAGGGAACATCTGTGCATTCTGGGAAGAATTCGGGGTCTGGGAAGAACCCCCTGTCCAGAATTTGGAGTTCTTAACTCCCTCATTTACAGAAGATTCACAGAGAAACAACCTGACATATGAGTGCTCTCCAACAGAACTTTGAACCTGTAACAATAGTTTATATAAAATTATTGCCCAATTATAAAATTTTGTGCTGTGGTTAAAGAAAACCCAAACAAACCTTATGCAATAACTTAAGAATAAAAGTTAGTTAGTTTCCCTTTTTGTACATAACTTTTATTATATTCATTGGAAGTTTTCCATTACAGGTAGAAGGATGAGTAAACAAGCAAACTCTTATTTACAAAAGAGGGGCAACATTGTCCAAGGGAAGAGTGCATATTAGATTGAGACTATGGTAATTTCCTAGGACTGTATTTAGATGAAAGAAGCTGGGGTTTTCAGTGGTTTTGGCCTCTCAAGCCTTCCCAAGGGACATGTATAATCTAGCTGTGATAAGTCTCCCTTAGGTTTAGGAGCCAAGAAGACAGAATCATCTCTCTTCTGCAAGAGCCAGCATCCAGAATTTGGCAAGAAACACACTTTGCTCCCAGGCAGCATCAGCCCTGAGCTGTACCTGCTCTTTGCCATTATACCAACCCAGTCACATAAATCACATCCAGTCTGAGGGAAAAATCCCACACAGACACCTCGGCTGCCCTGACACTACCTGTTCTGCACTCCAATTTCCACACTTCTCAGCCCAAATACGGCTGCTTTATGCACTGTTTTATTACTTCAGGTAATACTGCACACTCTCTGCAAGAGGAACAAAGACTTTGGTGAAAGCAAGCTTGTTTGTCTGAGGGTTTTGGGGTTTTTCCCGTAAAAAAAAAATAAAAATTCTCCCCACTTGTAACTACGAACATTCCTCAACAGTCCTCACCTCAGTCAGCCAAAAATCACATGAGGTCTTTCTGAAAAACTAAGTTCTGTGCAATGAAGTTATTAACTGCTGGGAAAGGCAGAAAAGCTTTTTTACAGCTGTTCATTGATGCACTGAATGTCACCTTACACCCTATAGCCTTTTTGGATTCTGCAGACTTCTGGAGTAGGCTAAGAAAAAACAAATCTTGGCCAGAGCAGTTATACTGCTTCTTGAGACATGGTTTTTTTTGGGTTCAGGCCTCAAATCCTCAGCCAGCAATTTCTGTCCCTGGTGGAAATTAAAAAAAAAACAAAACAAAACAAAACCCTAAAAAAAAAATGAAACAAAAAAAACCAAAACAAAACCAACAACAAAAAAACCACCCCAAAACAAACAACATACACAAAAAATAACCAAAACAAAAACCCCCAAACAAACAAGAACAAACAAAAAAAACCCCACAAACCACCAACAAAGCAAAACAAAAAACCACCCACAGAACACACCAGGTTTGTCTGCTTTTTAGGAATCCAGAGAATAAATATGACTTCCTAAGGCATTTGCAAGGGCTGTGAGTTGACCCCAAGCCCCAGCAGCCTTCCGTGGAAGATCACAGTTACTCTGACAAAAGCCAGCAGTGCCTGGCTCCAAAGCAGAGTGCTCCCAGACACACAGTGCTGAGACCTGGGAGAGGAGCAGCCTGGCCATGCCAGCTCCCCCTGGCACCCTGAGAGCCACATCCCTGTGCACACCCCAGTCGTGCTCCCACAGCAGGGGACAGCCTGGCCCACCGGCTGAAGTCCCCACACCGAAGCTTGAGCCTGTCCATACAACAGCTTTAATGACTCTCAGAAACTTTTCACACAGGGACCACGGCTTGTGCTGCTCCCTTCCGTTTCAGACAGGTGCACAAACCCCTTGGTTTAACCCACTGGCTGACATCCTGCAGTAAATGAGGCCAGAATTCATTTTCTCTGTTTAATTTATGTTTCCACATTTTTATTCTAAAGCTGTACATGGATGCTTGGATACCAGCAGGTGCATTTCATTGGTACACAAACCATACCAAGCAGTCCTGTTCTCATCCCTGTGTGCTCCTGCAGGAGTACACCACTCCTCACACCCAGTCTGCTGCTCGGCTTCCTCTCCTCTTTTCCTTTTAAATGGCACAGACAGCCGATGAAGAGCCAGGCACTCACCTTGACCCAGAGTTGAATCTCCACCAGACCTTCTCAGCAGGAACAACCAGGTTTGAAATGAGAGGAAATGCTTGGCAGGTGCTCCCAGGGGACTGGCCAAAAATAACTGCACTGTCTAGTAAATGCCCATCTGAGTACTACTAACATTTCTCCTTTAAGAGTGCGGCTGAAGCATTTGATTTACACAAGGTGAGGCATTTGTTTGCAGTCGCCCGCAGACCCAGCACACAACAGGGAACGCTCAAACCCACTTTAATCGCCTGTGTGAGGTGCCCGCGCTCCCCATGCAGACAAGGGATCTTTTAGGGTGTGATTAACTGCAATTAGGAACCTACCTCTCACCTTTGATTATAGCAGTAGTCTAGACAGCCTGTGTTGGCAGAGAACCGACAGACTTAAAATTACCTTGTACAAATATTCCCCAATGCATCGGCTATGCAAGGAAACAGACCGGAGGCTCTCTGGGAAGGGGGTTTGACCGAGTAGCACTCGACACTTGGCAGGCAGTGAGGAGCAGGTAAGGCTGTTTACAGGAGCTCTCCTCAGCCGTGACTTCCACCGGGCAGCTCGCAGCCCAGAACGCCGCAGGCTGGGCGAGCCGGGTCCCGGAGCGCTCCTTGCCGCTCGGCTGCTGGCACCGGAGAGCAAAGTCTGCTGGATGTCAGCTCTGGCGCAGGACCAGAGCCGGCAGCGTGGCCAGCCGCCAGCCCATGGCTCAGGAAAACCTACTGAAAAGCTGCTCCTTCCTTCGGCACGGGATGCAGCTGTGGCTGGGGAGCCCGGGAATAGCCTCCAGTCCTGTAGCCGCGGGCTGCTGCTGGTGCAGGCTGGCGGCTGCTCGTAGCTCAGCTCCTACTACTGCTTGCCTTCTTAAACTTATTTTTTAAGGAACCACTTGGATCATAACTTTAATCAAGACTTTAGAAAACAAGGCATTTAGAAAATTTGGCCAAATGCATGCCAGCTTCATTAAAGAATTTAAAAGCTCCCCCCAAATTAGCAAATTTTTTACTTAGAAAAGAATTGTTGTATTTTAAAATACTGCCATAAAAAAATACCTCAGACAGGAGTTGACTAAGGTCGAAACACAGTTCAGCCCCTGAAATTACTCGCCTTAAATTGTGTATTTTCATTTTCCATCTTCGATAACTGTGTGGCGAGGCTGTGCATTGCTACATGACAGCTCGCTCTGCTTTTAAAACAAGAGCACTTCAGTAGTCGCTAAATTGATGCCTTTTACGGGTCCATCACTTCCCGAGGGTAATTGATTAGCGCCTGTGAGGGGCTCTGAGATCTAACGGATTACATGTTCTGAGCCTGCTAAATTATTTGAATAGATTTAGGAAGAAAAAGATTCAGAATTTTGTGTGATGCAGTATTACCTTTCCCAATCAGCATTTCCCCTTCCCGTATTTTTGCTCAGTTAGAAAACAAGTGTGCTAAGCCCAGGGAGCGAGAAGAGTTGAGCATGACACCTGTTAAAATATAATAGAAAGCGATTTTTCCACCGAGAGTTTCTCTGATGACTGTTTATTCCGCTATTTAAAGATTACAGCTTTAATCTAGCTCAAGAGAAGAAAACGGAAAGGTCACAGCTCCGTGGAGCTCGGAGCGATGCACCGGGCAGACGGCACTACAGCCCCAAACAACACGCTGTGTTCGAGGCTGCAGCCTCACAACACATCCTCTGTGGTGCAATTTGGAACCATTTAAACTCAGCTGCCTTAAACACAGCCCGAACCAAGAATAGCCTCGGCTCCCGGGCACAGGTCAGGCGATGCTGAGTCACCCGCTGGCCGGGGCCCAGGCTTTCCAGCTGCCTTGGGCTCGGCCTCCTTAAAGACACAACTTGTGCCTGCCGCACACAGCCCAGCTCCAGCTGGGCACGGCCAGCCAGGGATGGCACCCTTGGATGCCGGGTTTAGCCAGATGCTCGATTCCAGTACGAAATCCTGGTTCGTACCGCCCTGTTTCCCTCCAGCTTCGGAGCGCAGCGCTGCTGCTGCCTTCCTGCCCATTCAAAGCTACATTCATACATCTCTTTGTAATTATGAATCAACTCCCAGGCATCGGTGCACACCCCAGGCTCACACAGAACGGCAAACAATATACTGTCACGGGTTGCATCAGCTGCACGATGCTCTCTCATGCCTTCAGGCTTGCTAAAGCTGATCCAACGCTAATGTAATAATAGCCTTTTTACCCGCCTCCTCCCCCAACAATTACCGGAGGCTTGGAAAGCCATTGATATGCAAATAGCACACGGAGAGGTTATTGGGAACCAGGCTGGGAAGGTACAAATGCTGTCCTGCTAGTTTCCTTTAGTTTGACAGGAACGGGACTGTAGTCCTGAATTTCTCTTTGTATAAACAGGGAGAGAGGCAATATCGTGGATGTATAGACGGGCAAGTGTAGAAGCTGAAGTGCATCTTCTCCAGCACGGCTTCTCTTATCTGGGACCCCTGTTACTCCCCTCAGCTGCTGCAGTAGCAGAGACCGGCACAGCACAGAAGAGTCTGTAGCTCCGACAATACGAGCGTGCCCAGCTACACAGAGTCACAGAAACGCGCGCAGTGTGGGTGTGAAAGGTCTTGCCCCCACACGGCAAGGCACTGTGGAGCCTGCAGTTTGCTCTGTCGCCACAGATGAAAGTCAGAAATACAGCATCCCTCTCCCTGTTACCCACCGCATCCTTCAGCCCAGGCAGCTTCTACAGGGGACAGGACCCCCTCCCTGTCCCCCAGCCCATCATGGTCTGTTTGCCTACTATTTTCTCAGGTAATGTTTCCACCAAGGACAAAAAAAGGGCTTTTTGGACCCAAGGCAGTCCTGACACTCGGCTGGAGCAGCCGTGAACAGCAGTGTGTACCAGGTGCTGTGAGGTGACATGGGACTACGATAACTCAGACACTTCTTCAGCCTCTCAGTCCCCAGTAAAGCTTCAGGAATACCTCCTAAAAATAGGCTGCATCCTCATCCCCTTTTCTGTAGCAAAACAACCTATAAATATCACAAAGAAGATGTTTAGCCTATCATAAACAAATTCCTACCCCCGTTCAAAAGAGCCACAGAGGATCCAGCAGCCGATGCACAAGGGGCAACTTGTTTGCTCTGGCGAGAAGGCGACTGAGGCAAATCTATCGACAGCTTACAGCTGCCCAAGCGCAGTTATTAACGCGACAGAGCCAACACAGCTGGGGGTGATGGCTAAAGGGTCAGTGGGAGGGGCACACTGGACCCAGCAGAATCTTCTTGCCAAGGTGGTGAACAGCACGGCCATTGGTCATCTCTGGGGAGGTAGGGGAGTTTTCAGCCTGGAGGTGTTCAGACGTGGCTGTGGCTGAGGTAATCTGGTGTCCATGGGTCCCGCTGCGATGGGGCCTTTGGGCTGGAGACCTCCAGAGGTCGCTTCCAGTCAACAATTCCATAGCTACGTAACCTCCACGTTAAATACCTGCCATTAAAGGGTGAAACTGCAGCAGCTCCTTCCCCTGTACCTCTGTACTTTCCCCGGAGCAGGGCACAGCTCCCAGGCCGCACCACCGCCCCATTCCAGCGGGAAGGCGCGGCCGTCCCTGCCCGGGGCTGCGGGCACACGGGGCTCCCCGGCGCTGCGGGCCCGGCAGCAGCAGCAGCCCCAACCTCTCCCTCGTTCCCTGCGCTGCCCCCATCGCTGTTTGCCGCCTGCGCCTCCCCGCTCGGGTGAGCGATGCGGGACCGACGCCGATGTGGCGGAAGGGTGCGCGCCGGGGTCGCGTTTTCGGCGAGAGGCAAAGGCCGGCGCGTGCCGGGTCTCTCCTCGCAGACACCCGCTCCGCTGAGGGGAGCGGGGCCGGGCGGGGGCGCGGCCCGGCGGGGAGCGCGGGGGGCGGTGGCGCATGATCGCGGCGCCGGGCTCGGCCCAGGAACGGCGGACCCCCGCCCCCGGCCGGGGTCACCCCGCGGGATGCTGCTCCCAAGGGATGCTCAACCCGAGGGATGCGGGCGTTGCGGCCCCCTCGCCGTGGAGGCTTCTCGGGCTGGATATTCCCCCCACTAGCACGGAGCCTGCCCCGGGGGGCCTCACGGGGCCGGAGGGATGCGCCCCGAGGAGGATGGGAGCTGGGAGGATGCACCCCCGGGGGATCGGCTCGGGGAGGGGGCTGCCCCCTTCGGGCCCCACCCAGCGCAGGGCACCCCGACTCCGCAGCGGATGGCGGGCTGCCAGCCTGTGCATCAGAGCCGGGCCGCAGACCATCCTTGTCCCCCCTCGTTCTCCCGACGCCCAGCCTGGGCTGTGCCCGCCTCCGGCCCGCTGCCCTGCTGCCCCGCGGGCCGTGGGGCCGGTCCCGCAGCGGGACCCTCAGGCAGGGCGGCCGGAGCCTGCGGTAGGTGACAGTGCTGGTGACAGACGCGTCTCGCAGCGCAGGGCTGCCTTCGGGTGACAGCGTTACAGCGATGCTTAAGAAGCGCGGTGCTGCAGGTAGAAAGCCCTGGAGCGGCCTGGGGCTCAGTTAATCCTGGACAGAGGTAGCCATGGAGCCGCGAAATGAGTTTGGGTTTGTGGCTCTGCTCGCTGAGCTGTTGGATTAGCGGATTCTCTGTGTGACCCAAATTTGTCGGGCTGCTCGTTGTATTCTCGCTCTTTTTTTTTTTTTGGTCCCGCTGTTATTTCTGCAGATCAGAACAGTCTAACCCAGAAATCGTTCCCAGCTAAGTAGCAACTAGGAAGGAAAAAATAAAATGCTGGTTTTAGGAGGGTGGGCAGGAAGAAATTAAGATTAATGCAAAGTTTACCAGTACTCTTTGTCTCCTTAAAAAAAACCAAACCAACAGTGCTCTTAAAAAGCTGTGTGTTTGAATTGAAAAGAAACGTTCTTCTAAAGGTTATACAGAGGAAATAGACAACAATTATGTAAAAAGCCTCCGGAAAGTTTTTCTAAACAAAATCTGCTATTAACCAGGAGGCACCCGGCAAGCACAGAATGGTTAGAAGCTATCAGCATCAAAGCAGATAGCAAACTGAAACCCTAACAGCTCTTGCTGTTGGAACACATTAGGTTTTCCATGAATCAGCCTGGAATTAGTTTGTTTGCAGTTGGTACCTACCTGTTTGTGCACCTGGAATGGTAACAGTGTGGTACAGAGTTGTTTGTGCTGACCAGGTTAGTGGCTGCATTTTTAAATGATGGGTATCAGTTTGACAGGCCGAGCTGAGACGGCGCATAAAATCTTGATTTTGGGTTAAAAAATGGTTAGTCAGCACTAAAGCTATTTGCATTTTGTATTTTTCGCAATGTGAGTAAACAAAAATGCTGTTTTGGAGCTCCTGGGCTGCAGAGTCCAGCTCTTAAATTCATTGGCTGTGTTTGTATCAAAATGAATTTCACTGAAACATTCATAAATCAGGTTTTGGAGCTCCTGGGCTGCAGAGTCCAGCTCTTAAATATCATTGGCTGTGTTTCTATCAAAATTAATTTCACCAAAACATTCATAAATCACTCCTGCCAGCGTGAGGCTTCACAGGTAATTGAACAACATTAAGTTTGTCTCCTCTCTGAACTGTTTAAATTGCTTCTCCGTGGCAATCACTGTGCACGGGGGAGCGGGCTCTGCTCCTGCCTCCCGTCCTTGACACGGGGCAAGTGCGGCACAGCCTTTCCACGCGGCCTCTGCTTCCTCCGCCGTGTTTGGCAGTGCCTCTCCCAGCCCCTGCGTGGGTGCCTGCTCCTCCCTCCCTCCCTCTTCCCCAAATGTGTTGGAACGGCTTTGCAGCATCCTGAGAGAGCCTTGGGAGCCCTTCCCCACCTGGGCACTGAAGTGGTCTTTTGTGTACCAGCACAACCTCCCGCCATCATCCTGTACCTGTGGGAAGGTAACAGGTGGTGGCAAGGCAGTGGGTGTCCCAGGCAGGGCATTCTCTGCCATTTCTTTGGAACAGCAGCAATAGAAATCACACTTCATTGCTTCTATTTATTTCTTTGGAACAGCAGCAATAGAAATTGCCTCTATTTCCCAGTGGGGTTTTTTTTGTTGTTGTTTTGTTTTGGTTTTTGGGTTTTTTTTTTTTTTTTTTTGGGGTTTTTTTTTTTTTTTTTTTGGGGTTTTTTTTTTTTTTTTTTTTGCTTCTTGTTCTAAAACAGTTGCTCCAGTAGTGCTGAAGGCAGGCTGTGGGCAGCCCAGTCTCTTGGAAGCTCAGAGATTTACAAATTACCAAGAACTAAGAATAACAAACAAAAAAACCAGTACCTAGCATGATTCCTGCAGCTGTGGTCCAGATCCACTACTGACACAAGACTGATGTGCCTGTGTCTGTCCAGTAAAGCAGGAGCAAACTTCTCTTTTTAATTGCAAAAAAAATGGGTTTGGGCTTCTCTTTGATCCCATTCTAGTGCATTTCCCTTCATGGGAAGGTAAGTAAGCCATTCTCTTCATGGCTGTGTGCTTCAGTGCCCTGTCTGGACTGTCAGAAGCAGCTGTGCCACATCTGTCTGTGCCTCCAAGCTGCCTGTGGCTGCAGTGCTGGAAGCAGGCACTGCATGTAGAGCCCAACCCATTGGCCAGTGCTGCTAAACTCTGCCCTGTTCCCAGTGTGTTGGGGGACAGAAGCATTAAAGTATTTTGAGACAGTGGAGAAAACCAAACACCCTGCAAAGTCTATTGGCTGTAGCCAGAGGCAGGCATTCCCTATGCCAGCATGGTGCTTTAAATTCACAGGTCTGTTACTTTTCCAGAATATAGTTAAGTTTCATGTTTATGAGTCATCCAGTGTTAACCACATGCTTGTGGAAAACAGTAAGAGTCGAGCAAGAAACTTACCACTCTTGTTTTCCCTTCTCCTGTCCTCAGTCTCATAAGCCAGTACAGAAATGCATTGATGTGTTTTCTTTGAAAGCTGGCAAATTTGACATCTGAGGGCTTTTTGGAGGGAGCACAAGGTTTCCTCTCGCAGGCCAGGCAGAAGGGGCACGTGCAGTTTTTGTGCTTTACCTTTTGTAAGAAAGGGTTGAAGAAAACCTTCCCTCTGCAAGCGGTGGTAAGAGCAGCTGGGCGTGTCCTCCAAAGTTGCCGTCTCAGCGCTCACAAGCTGAGTTGTCACCCGTGTGCTCACTGGCAGCATCTCACAAATCACCTCTGCTCTCGAGTGCGACTACCAGCACCCACCAGCAATTACACTAATCACTAAAATGTGAAGGCAACATTAGACAGTGCAGTTAGCTCTGTGTAAGTGTTGCACAGATGGCCGCAGTCCCTGCGGGCAGCTCCCCTGCACCGGCTGCACACCGCAGTGCCCAGGGAGGGCACGGGGAAAGCAGAGAGGAGCCATCTCTTTTCCAGATGTTTTTTTCATGTGTCTGGACTCTGTTTTGCACTGGGCAGCTGTGGATGCAGCTGGCAGAAAAGGGGGTGCCAGTGCCAGGTGGCCCCGTGTCTCTGTGCCCCATTACTTGCTAGGGTCACTCACCATGGATGTTCCAGAAGAGTTGCAGGGAGGAATTATTTGGAATAGAAGAGAAAGGCTGTGTTTGGCATTGTTGTTGAAACTAAAGGAGATAGCAGCATTGTATAAAGCTGCTAAAAATCTTTCTTATAATACATTATTGTGTTATTAAAGTTATAATAACCAGGTATCAGTGGCGAGTCAAAGTAATACATTTAAAGAATAATTTTTACTTAGATAATGTCTTTAGTGCATATAACAAAGCAGGAGAAGGCAAATTGGTTTTCTTACAAATTATCTCTGATCTTTGAACACATATGCATTCATTAAATGTGCCGTGCTCAGATATTTATGTACATAGCTGTGGAAATAATTAATTTCCATGGTTCTACTTGTATTTAGAATTTTTTTCTTCTACCAGCCTAGTGATAAACATGCTCGGAAATCACTGTTTAACTCTTGAGTTTTTCCCCCCCTCTACAAAAATGGGATTTTTTTTCCTACATCTGTTGCGAACATTTCAGCCCTTAAAGCACATAAAACAGAAGTGTCTATTGATCTCCTGAGTTGACTAGAATAAACCTTTAAAACTACTTGGTTTAAGCCCAAATTTGTTTTCTTCTTGGAAGAATATCTCCTGGAGGTTTAAGGCATTAACTTTACAATTAGCTAAAGGAAAAACTGGGGTTTTATTAGACATTGCTTCTGAAGCCACTCTAATAACAAGACATATATGCTTAATAAACTACATAACACTGATGGCAAAGAGAAAAGCTTTGCAATAATTCCTTTGTGAGCTGATTGATACAATTCACAATCAGTGGAAGTGCTCAAGTAGAGGAAAGAGGGAGAAGATGAACGTGGCACATCAAAATGTAGAACATGAAAGGACTTTGAAAGGGAAACTTCAAAGTTGGAGATCCAGATGCTGGAGTCACTAGCTGTGATTTAGGATGTGAGCACAGGAACGTGACTGCTGAGGGAACAACACTTTTGAGAAGAAAACAGAGTCGAGATACAAGCCATGGCAGAGGGAGAGGTGAGTGCTGCCTCTGCATTCACAGGATTTCAGTGGAGCTGCTCAGGGTCAGCTTTGGGCTTGATCTTCTGCAAGCTCAGCCTGCTGGTGTGATGGGGGTGAAGTTAATGCTAATACATTTTTATGAAACTGCCTTGCAGTCACTCCAAAATCCTTTTCCTTTGCTTTTCAACCTTGTCTAGGAAACCCAGAAACTTGTTGTGGGAGGAGAACTGGGGCCACAGGCAGAAAGCTGATGCTGAGTGTGAGCTCTGTTTCCCAGCCACATGAGCAGCATCTCCAGGGAAGGAGATGGCCAGGTTGCTGTAGGGATCTGGTGCAGTCACCACGTACATGTGTAAAAAAAACAAAGCAAGTGAAACCAGAGGCATTGGCAAGATTTTGGAGATGGGAGGAGGGACGCTGAGAACAGCGCCACTCTGCTGTTGCAAGGCTCTCCAGGCTGCTACAGGGTTGTCTACAGCAAAGAAGGTGCTGGGGAAAGAGAGCTGCTCAGAATTTTGCTTACCCTTTGAAATGCTCTCTTTCCCCGTGCACAGAGAAGTCTGGGTAAAAAGAACTTGTCAAAGTTGGAATTATCTTACTGAAATCCTGCTTCAGAAGGACATGCTCCAGGCTGGGTGTTTAGGGGTGACTGCAGCTCTGGCTCTGGGAGAAGGCAAAAGCTAAACAAGCAGAAGAGGTTTCCATCCCCAGCTCTGGATGGCAAAAGAGGTGCTTGTGCTGCAGAACAGATGTTAGATAGCTGATGAAATTTTGAGCAGCACATTAGTCTGTGTCCCTAAAGCTTTGTCTGCTGACAAAAGTGTTCTTTTAGGGGTTGGAGCTTGGAGAATGTCTCCATCTTGATGTCTGATCTCTATATGATCTCTCTGTGGGGTGAACTTGAGCAGCTTGGTGGGACAGCT